GCAGCAGGCGGCTCAGCCCACCCGCTGGGTCGCCCCTCGTAATCGCGGCAGCGGGTTCGGTCAAAACGGAGCGGACGGTAACGGAGTGGGACAGTCTCAGGCCGGTTCTGGTTCTGCTCCTTCGGAGCCGCACCCGGTCTTGGAGAAGTTGAGATCCATCAACAACTACAACCCCAAGGATTTTGACTGGAACCCAAAACACGGCCGCGTTTTCATCATTAAGAGTTACTCTGAGGACGATATCCACCGTTCCATTAAATATAACATCTGGTGCAGTACAGAGCACGGCAACAAGAGACTGGATGCCGCCTATCGCTCCATGAACGGGAAGGGCCCTGTTTACTTACTGTTCAGTGTCAACGGTAGCGGTCACTTCTGCGGAGTAGCAGAAATGAAATCTGCTGTGGACTATAACACCTGTGCGGGGGTGTGGTCCCAGGACAAGTGGAAGGGACGTTTTGATGTCAGGTGGATTTTTGTGAAGGACGTTCCTAACAGCCAGCTGCGACACATCCGCCTAGAGAACAACGAGAATAAACCAGTGACCAACTCCAGGGACACTCAGGAGGTGCCTCTGGAAAAGGCTAAGCAGGTGTTGAAAATCATTGCCACCTACAAGCACACCACCTCCATCTTTGATGACTTCTCACACTATGAGAAACGCCAAGAGGAGGAGGAAAATGTTAAAAAGGTAACTCGTTTGTCTGTCTCGGCAACGTCCTGTGGGGCAGGAGGTGGAGGAGGGTTGCCTTGCGCCGGACTACCAATGGGGCCTGATGGCGTGGGCTTGCGAGAGGCTTGGTGGGCACCGGGCCGCTCTTTGGCCAGCTGCCTGCTGGCTCGTGGAACCCACTGCCCGAACGGCAGCCCTCGTGTGGGGTGGAAAGGGGTGCCAGCACCCCGAAAGGGCGCTTTAAGGGGGCTGGCCCAGCCCCTGCCTGCAGTCGCCTGGCCTCGGGTGGCTCTAAAATCTCAGCCTTGCCTGGGAGCGCTGTTCTAACCGGAACTTTGCGCTGCTGTTGGCGCCTGGATCGGAGCGGCATGAAGTAGGAGATGGGTGAGGGGTTTGGGGAGTTGGGGAGAGACAGCCGGGTCTCTGAACAGCCACTCATCCACCCAAAGTGGGGTCAGTGTGACAGATGTTTCCCCCCGCTTGTAAAATCTTCAGGAACAGCAGTTCCTGTCCCTCCCCAGGCAATCCATTCCTACCCTTAATTATCCTGCCCGTTAGAAGGCTTTGTCTAATGCCCAGCCTAAATCTCCCGTGAAGTCCTTGACTCCTTGTCCTCTCCGTGGATGGGGAGCAGGTCATTCTGTTCCTCCTGGCACCCAGCTCTGCTCTACATGGAGC